CAAGATTAAACATTTGAAGCCTTACAAAAAGAAATATGTACATCATCTATTTACAATTTAGAGGAACACTTAAAAAACCTATAACAAACCTTTTATTTTATTTTTTTAATTTATCAAGTCTATGGAAAATTGTTTCCTAAAAAATTTCTACCATATACCACAAAAATAAATAAAAAGATGCAAACACTAGTTTTGAACAAAGTTTTGCTGTGAGCTTTTTTCTTTTTTTTTTTGCATGTCAGTTATTTTTTTTTTTTTTTAACCCTTTGGTTTGACAGCATGGTATTACAGTTTTAATAGCTGCGATCCAAAATGTCCCATCTGCACCCATGTGATGACTTTTGAGAACTGTACAAACTCGATCTATCTTGACCCCCCCTCCCCTGTACCAAAGCCATGCCTAAAAGAAGGAATCTCATTCCTTAGACTGAACTTGGGATCAAAGAGTGGGTCAGTTCTCAAAATCTTTCAATCCTATGAGATTATAGCTGCAATTCTATGTCACCCAAGTGGGAATGTGCAAGGCTTGAATCAAGATAGACAAGATAAGCAATAGCACTTAGACTTATGTACTGCTTCACAGTGTTTCACAGCCCTCTCTAAGGGGTTTACAGAGTCAGCCTCTTGCCCCCAACAATCCTCATTTTACCGACCTCGGAAGGATGGAAGGCTCAGTCAACCATGAGCCGGTGAGAATCGAACTGCTCGCAGTCGGCAGAATTATCCTGCAATGCTGAATTCTAATCACTGTGCCACCACGGATAGAAAGATTGGGTTACACCGGAGTTTAGCAGACTGAAGTCATGTTCACTACTGTTCTGTTCATAGGAGAGGCTAAGCCAAAACCAAAAGAGCCACATTCACACAACCCATGTAATCTATTTGGTTCTGGCTCAGCCATTCTGTTTTATCATATGGTTGGGAATGTTCTACTAACGCAGGCTGAGTGTTTTATTGTCCTCTGATCTGGAACATCAGGAAGGAGAAGAATTAGTTTAAAAGCAGCCTTGATCCTAAGGATCCTTTCACAAGATGCACCTGAATTGCTTATTTATGATCAAAACTCTTTAACTATATTGCGCAGTCGGGCTTTCTCCCTTTCCATTCTTCATCCTACACTAGGAACCAAAGCAAACATTTGGACCAACAAAGGGTAAAGCTTACAATTTGAGGATTTCTCACTCTTTCTGAAGAAAGCTGAACAAAATATCAAATGATTATCAAAACAATGCAAAAGTCATGCAGATGAGTACTAACTTTTTCCTACGAAACCTAGGATTTTTGGCTCTTCTTCAGGAAGGTTCAGAAATGTGACTCAACAGGGTTGGTCAATACTCCATGTCAAATAACTTTCAACCTCAAAATATCTTCTAGAATGAAATTTGGGCATTGTTTTTTTTTTAAAGAGAATAACAGGGTTTCCTCAGTAGAAGCAGAAGGATGGGCAAAAAATGCAAAACATCCCTCTCTACCTTGTGGACTTTGTCCACAGAAAAGAGCTCCAATGCTCCACTCAAAATGTTCAATGTTGCCAGAAGTCCAATTAAAAATTTAGAAAGCAGCCACTCTCAAAACTTGCCTTGCTGTTTTTCAGGCGCGCATGGGCCTATCTGGCTGATGAACCTCAAAAAAGGAGTTTATAAGACCGAACTAAGATTCCTCACATCTTTGGGGAGTGAGTCTTCAAGACAAAGAATGACACATTCTCTTGCTTTTCTTATTTAAAAAAAAATGCTATTTAGAACCTTGCTCCTTTGAAGGCTACTCTGTTATGCAAAATGTCCACAGATAATACTCATTGGCCAAATAATTGACCTGAGCTGAATGGTAGGGCTGAAAGACAACTGCTTGCCATGGTTGGTGGCTGGCTTACAAATCCTAGCTTGTTATGTCAGGATAGCTTATTCCTGGACTGTTTTAGTGTTTCACTTCTGTATATTAACAAAGAAAAAGAAACTAAGTTCTAACTTAACTCCCATTAAATCAATATTAGTTTTGCTGGACTACAGGATGGATTGAGGCTTGCTCCTAACTTGTTCAACAAAACCACAGTTGGAACAAATCCTAAACCTTATGCAATAGACGAACATAGTCAATGTAAGGAACCTCAATAAGAATCCATTCGAGTTTTGGTTTTGTAAATCCAGGCTGCAAAATAATTCCGTTTGCTCTTATTAGTTCAGATAAAATTAAGTTTGGCTGGGAAATAGGACTGTGAACTAGGAATTCCATTGAACTTTAAGTTCTGAGTGATCAGCACATATTGGATTCTGTCCCTCTGAAGTCTGAAGGATCAGGAAGTGCTGGATGAGCCAAACCTGATCACTCCTTGCTCCACAAAGCAATGAACAGATTTATTTCCCAATAAATACATTGATTTGATTCTCTCACCTAATTGGTAACTTGCATCTTAAGAACAAGGACTGAGATTAAATCTCCAGGCAGCTCTTTGCTGGCAGCTTCTTTCCTTTTCTGCCTCTGAAAAAAGTTAGCAATAGCCTCTGAATCTAATGCTATAGTTAAATTTGCATGAAGGGTACCATTTCACTTATGTTTTAAATCAACAGATTGTTTTGAAGCAGGAGAACAGAGTAATTTCATTACCCTTGAAGATAAGTAGTCAAAGAGTACAGGACTTCCATTCCCTATGTTCCAATGCTGGCATTCTTTCGTCCTAAATGTGGTTTGTCTCATCATCTTGGGGCCATTCCTGGTCTATAGTTGGGTGTTTCTGCAGGCATTTTCTCTTTCATAAGCATTATGGGAACAGTAACGGGGAGGTATTTAAACAGGAGCATCTCCACAGAATGAAATGAAGATGCTTCAAAGCAAGAATAATGGTGGAGCTATCCAGAGCTCCCAGAAATAACCTGCACAAAGCTGGCAGAGCAGGGGGTGTCAAACTCCTCAATTTCATTGAGGGACACATCAGGATTGTATCTGACCTTGGGGGGGGGGGCTGGCTAGGGTGGGCATGGCCCGCTCGATATCACTCGTGTCGGGGGTGCCTGTGGTGGCCCAAGCTCTCTGCCAGCAAAAACAGACTCCCGGGCTCTGTTTTCAGCTGTGATGGCCTCCTGCAACCCTCTGCCAGTGAAAACAGAGCCCAGGAGGGCCGCTAAGAACCCTGTGGACCAAATCTGGGCCCCGGGCCTTGAGTTTTGACACCCCTGCTCTAGAAGGCAACTGAGAGTTGGGGTTCTCTGCCACCTAGTGGTCACCTGGATTTCTGCAGGCCAGATCTGGCCACCCTGTCGTTCAGAGGTCTCCAAACTTGACAACTTTAAGACTTGTGGACTTCAACTCCCAGAATTCTCCAGCTGGCTGAAGAATTCTGGGAGTTGAAGTCCACAAGTCTTAAAGTTGCCAAGTTTGGGGATCCCTGCTGTAGTTGGATCCCTTGGCCCATTTTTAGCTAAAATCTATTTTGCCATGTCAGGTCTTCCCTTTGGTGTTACAACGCATTTGCACAGTGGTGGTGTTTTCATTTTAATTACACCTTCTTCCTCTAAAAATTACAGTACTTTTTAACCTTGTAAAAAGCTGAGTTTCCCAGATCCAGCTATGTACCTTACAGAGACGAAACATTCAGACAATTTCGACATTTGCCTGACTGGACATTTTGGGGTATTTTGTTAACAAGATGCAGCAAGGTCTTATCCCTATTAGTTGTCCCAGTTCAAGCTGATTGGTTTTCTTTTTCTATTTTCCAATCTCAGTGCAATCTGAAGTACTTTCAGAGGTCTCTGGTCTCACTGAATTGGGGTAAGCAAAATTCACAAGGTATTACCTTAGAGTTTCGTCAGCTTAGAGTTCTGATATTCTAAAAATCATGTTCTAAATCCTTCTTTTTAAAGCAGGACTAAGTTTAGCTTATAGTAAAATATTTAACATTAGTCTCAGAGCCTCTTGTTATTTAAAGCTTCTGACAGATGCTCAATAACTCGCGTTGTGGAAAATGGTTGGTTGTCCCTTTACAAACCAGGGGAAAATATGGATTCTAAACTTTAAAACACTTGGCAGATCAGATCTGTCTGAACGCGTATGCTGAATATTAGATGTGCCAGACTGAGCTATCCCTAGTCCAGATGCTTGGCACATTATCTGAACTGATTTGTAGAAAATTCCTTTTGTGATAAAACATTAAGAGCTGATTTGCATATTTACAAAATCTTTGTCATGATAGACATGCAAACATATGGAACATTTTTGTTCTATGGCTATTTATGAATTTCATCTCTATATATTTAATCTCCACAGAAAAAATAATAATAAAATATAACAAGTATTTAAAAAAAAAACATCCAGTACAGTTTTGACAGAAAATAAATTGCAGGTTGTTTTTTGGATTCATTTGGCTGTGAGTTGATATTAAATTATTTTTTTTAAAAAAAAAAACACCATCTGATTAAAGAGTGTGTGTTGGTCAGGCTTCTAAAAATTACAGATAACGCAGATTTTCAAATATAATACTTAGATTTAGGGACCTGCTTCTCGTGTTGTGTTTTGGAAATAATGAGCGAAGCATATTTATGCAATATTGTTTTATCTGCCTTACATCAATTAACTGCCAGATTATAATTACATAATGTGTGCAAAACTAGTGCACAAAATTCCCAGGGAAATCAGAATCTTTTTGTCCAAAGGGATGAATCTTCCGTTGTCTTTTGGGGGTTCGTGGACAAAAAGAGCCATTGGTCAGACGGCCATTCTCCCATGTCACCCCCATGGTTTCCAGGATCAAAAGGTGGAAGCCCAGTGGGCCAGTGACCCAGTGAGGCCATCTACTCTTCCTTCTCTTCTCCCTTTGTGCAGATGAGCACAAGAGCAGGAATGAGAGCCCTTCAACCATAATTTAGAGCAGAGGTCTTAAGGCTTGTGGACTTCAACTCCCAGAATTCCTGAGCTAACATGACTGGAGGAGGAATTCTGGGAGTTGATGTCTACAAGTCTTAAAAGTTGTCAAGTTTGAAGACTCCTGATTTAGAGCTTCTTGTGGCCAAAGAAATCAGGATCTGCTGGATCAAATGATCTCTTTTTCTCTTTCTTTCTACTCTCCCAGAGCAAGAGGGACAAGGAGAGTGAAAGAAGCAGTGAAGCACTGCCGCTTATTCTTTTGATTCAATTTTATTCTGGCAACACATTTATGGCTGAAATGGATGTATGGGCCTGCACAGCCGTTGTGCAGAAGAACTGCGACTTGAAGACCCATGGTGCTGCTCCATCATGGAGCGGCCTAGGGCCACAGGATCAAATTGGAGAGACCCTTTTTTGCCTACCCAGAACCACCCAACCCCAATCTGCAAAACATCATGACAGGCAGCCCTGAGATGAAACCTGTAGGACTAAGTCCCAGATACAAAGAGTAAAGTCACAGGGCATTAAAGCAGTAAAACAATCCGTGTCTCTCTGGACAGTGTCTTCCCTGTTTCCTCATAAATATACAAAATATACATTTCCAGTTTCTTCTAGCCTCATTATTATTATTATTATTATTATTTTCCTGCTTCTAAAAAGGAAGAGTTCGTACGCAGGCAAACCCTTAGCTATTTCTAGTGGAAGGCGGGTGGGTATACTTGGGTCGCCCGCATGTTGCATAGGTGCCCACTGCCTCGTGAAGACGCAGCTCAGTTCTGGTGGCGCTTCATGTGCAGGGCCAGGTGATCGGAGCGAGAGAAGCTGCGGCTGCAGACAGCGCACTGGAAGGGCTTGGCACCCGTGTGCTTCCGGTAGTGGCGGGTCAACTCGTCCGAGCGAGCAAATCTCCAGTCACATCCTTCCCAAGTGCATTTGTATGGCTTCTCTCCTGGAAAGATCCAAAAGGCAGAATCATTAGTCAATAGTCCCTTCATAAAATTCAAAAGCCAACTCACGCTTTCATAGGTTTCTTTGGGTTAAACCATTGCTCCCTAGGAACATGGTGGCTTGCATAGTTAGGACACTGGGTTGGAGGTTAGCAAGTCTGCATTCGAGAGCCAAGGTTGAGTTCCCTTCCTTTGCTCCAGCTCCTTGTGGGGAACAAGAAAGGAGTTCCCAACTGGGCATCCCCTGGGCAAATGGTGATTATCAGTGGCTAATCCTTTCAACCTGGAAGTGCCTTAGTGCTTCTGACACTATGCTATTACTCCCATATATCCTTTTTCTTCTCACTGCAAGAAAGATTTTATATGGCACAACATTCAAAAATGCAACACCCAATGAGGGTTTTATAAAACTAAGCCACAATTGATGAGGTTCCCATAAAACATGAAACCAATAACCAAGATTTACAATCTTTGGAGCCATATTGTGTTAAGCCAAACTGCATTGTGGTTGAGCCCATTCTGCATACCAGTCTCATTGTATGTATCGCGTAGGACTGCCCAAATTCCCTTCCGGTGGTTTTTCCCCAAAACAGGAGATACAGTAGCAGAGTTTCTACCTACAGCTTTTAGGAAGGCACCACCAACTTCCAGACAGCCATATGAATTGCAGTGAGGAGCTGCCCCACATGTTCTTCCTACACAGCCTGAAATCTCTGACATTCAGTTTGAGAAACCAGGGTAAAGGATACCTGGACCACTTAAGGACCCAGAAGGACCTTCTCCAACATTTCTGCTCACCTTCAGAGCTCCAGTTACTATTATGGACACATTAGTTCAGGTAACAGATTCGTGAGCAAATGCAGATACTAGCAAATGTCTCTTAGAAGGCCAGAAATACTGAGGTGGCTCTCTCAGGTTCTCCTCTTTACACACAACTTCTTGTGAGAACAGAACTGACCAGTTGGGGTACTCTTGAGGCATCAGTCTTTTATTTGGTAGCTTTTAGATTAATCAACAAATCCTATAGAAATTTGTCTCTATAGCCAATGGCCAAACACAATGGGTTTTTATCATAAAATCAATAAAACATGGATTAATGGGCACAGCAGAAAAAAAATCATACTTATGGACTTAGTTAAAGCTGAACTACATGTTCCCCCAGCAGATGCAGACACCAGCTTCACTTTGGTACAACACATGTAGTAGAAGCCATTTTGAAAGATGCCTCAAAGTCTAACCAAAGATTTACTCCCCATGCTGAACGTTAGACCCAAAGTATATTTTACCCTTTCCATCCCAGATTTTCTTCAATGCTACAAACATCAAGGCAACCTTTAGATCAACTAAGATCAAAAGATCTAGGGAGGCAGGACTCCAAGGGTGAACAGACATAGAATCTCAAGTAATATTAAAAAGAAAGGACATCCAGCAAAAGAGAGCATGTAAACCCAACAGGTCACAACCTCACTAAAACCGGTTGTGACTAAGTCCCCAAGTGAAAACAAGTTAAAACAGAGTAAACCTCAAGTCCATACAAAGCAGCAGGGCTTCAACCAGTTATAATATCAGCTTATCTCATTGCTTCTCATAGGACAGTGATGGTTAACCTTTTTGGCACCAAGTGCCAAAATTGGAGTGCGTGCGCCGGAGCGCCGGAACCCATAAGAGAGCAGCTGGCAGGTGCACATGCACGCACCAGCCAGCTGCTCTCTTCGAGGTTCTGTTGCATGCATGCACACTGGCCAACTGGTCTTCATTGTGCATGTGCCTGATGGAACCCAGAAGAGTAGCTGGCGATGATGTGGATGCTCACAGAGAGGGCTCTGTGTGCTACCTCTGGCATGCGTGCCATAGATTCGCCATTGCGAATCTGGGTTTCCCATCAACAATAGGATCAGGATGGGGGCTCCTAGGTCTGCTATCTTCTGCCATCTGAAACCCTCATTTGCACCTGATCAAGGAAGCAAAGGAACCATGGATGGAACAGGGGACCATGAGTTACAGATGAAGGTCTATCTATCACATCCCATCTTCAGGATCTTTGTGCAACTTCAGTTTGGTCAATACCTGGATGAAACCAGCACAAAACCTCCTCAAAAGCCCAAGATAAAAGACAGGTCCTTCTGTCATGTTTGTCTAGGGAGAGTCTCAGTCATCCAGGTCATGGTTGTCTCCAAGGTACTTTTTCAAAAGGCAACTGGATTCATGCAGTCATGCCATGATTCATAGTCTTTTCCCATACAACCAAGCCAGGAATACGTGGGGGCACTTTGCAATCCCAGCCACCTCAGGGGAAAAAAAAGAACAACTTATTCTTATTCCTCAAAGATAGGAGTGAACAACTATGGCCCCCTTACAACCTGCGGACTTCAATTCCCATAATTCTGAGAGTTGAAGCCCACAAGCTATAAAGGGGCCAATAGTTGTCCCCTCTCTGCTCTAAGGCTTAGGCAAGCTTTTCAAATTCTTATTTTCTCCACGTGCACGAGATCCTTTGCATTTAAAGCCAGCATTTCTGGAAAACATTGAAACAACTAATTTATCAAGCATTAGGTTCACTTGCAAAAATTAGGCCCCAATTGTATCAGGCCGCTAGCACGTTTCTCCAGCCCAACTGGGCCCAAGAGAGAGGTGGGCTCCTTCCTGGGGGTTTGCAGGGATTCGGGAAAACACCTAGCTAAGGTTCTGTGCAGTTCAGAGAACCCCCAAATCCCATTCCTGGATGGCCCTAACCACCCCGCCCCTCCCAGGAATCCCCATGTGGCCCGTTTTGGATGCAGTTTTGGATGGAGGCTCAGGGAAGGTGTAAAATGGGCCTCCTGGAAATTTAGGAAGGCTGGAAATGGGCCTGTTTCTGGCTTCCAGAAAGCCTCCGGAGTCCGGGAGGCCCTTTTCGCCCTCTTGGATGCTCAAGGAAAGCTTTCGGAGCCTGGGGAGGGCAACCACCACCCCCGCGTGCCATGGTGCAGGAGGCCGACTAGGCCACTCCCACCATGGCCACGCCCACCCAGCAACCAAGCAGAGAACCCTTTGCTAAAATTTTTGAAGCCCACTCCTGGCCCAAGGTGATCAACACCTGAAATTATGTGTGGCTTCAACTGGAGCACGAGATACTTAACACCTTGGAAATTTTGACCACGGATTTATGTAACTGCCCAATATAGATTTAATTGCATGGCTTTACACAGTGCGTTTGGAACATACTGTCACAGATAGCTAAATATATGGGTATTTAATTTAGCAGCCTAAGTGGGATATTTTTAAACATACCTATAAAATTCATAACTATGTTTGTTGAAATGATGGAAGGGTATTCATAGAAACCAGAGGCAGGGAATAAAATGTCTCTCTGAAGAACGAAGGGCGCTGTTCAGTGTGACTCGAAAAAATGTTATTTATGTGGCCAAACTTCATTCACGTAAATCTATGCTCGCAGGCCATTTCCACAGTTTACAAAGAGCATTATCATAAAACCTGAACACACCCCAAACTATTTTATCAGTTGTAACTGTCAACTGGAGCTGTTAGAGGGCTCTGAACTTGGACTTAGTTCTCAGGGATAAAAAAATGCATGAGGTGGTAAATCTTTCTAAGCTAGCCACCACGTAGGAAATTTGCAGGTAAGATTCCCTTGAAACTGAGGAGAGAGAGAGAGAGAAAAAAAAGGCTAAATTAGGATCTTAGGACATACCGCTTGCTTTCCAAGCACAGGACTGCTGGCCATCTCACAACTTACAAGTATTCCAGTACTTGAGGGGCTCCTACAAAGACGAGGGGGTCAACTTATTTTCCAAAGCACCAAAAGGCAAGGGCAAGAAACAATGGAAGGAAACTAATCAAGGGGAGAAGCAAACCTGGAATTAAGGAGGAACTTCCTAACAAGTGAGGACAATTCACCAGTGGAACAACTTGCCTTCAGAAGTTGTGGGTGCCTCATCCCTTCAGGTTTTTAAGGAGAGACCAGACAGTCGTTTGTCTAAAATGGTACCGGGGGTTGGACTAGATGACCTCCAAGGTCTCTTCCAGCTCTATTCTGATCGAAAGTCTACACCCACAAATTAAAACTGCAGACACAGGTCAGGATGAATGCCCCCACCACGGAGTTCAACATACACAAAACCTTTTGTAACGCACCCACATCCTTCACCCGTATTACGTAGCGCAAACAGAAAAACAAGCTTTCTGTATACAGGCAGGATTTCTCCACACGGTTAATTTCCGAGCAGGAACAGCCAACGCAGTGAGTTCCTGCCTTACAGCATTTACAAAAGGAGAAAAGGTAGAGAAGAGTTCAAGGAATGTCCCAGAGGTGCTTTCCCAAGAGGCATCTGGACTTTGAGTTTTGTTTTTTTTTTCTTCCGCTTTTGAAAATGTTTCGCTTCTCATCCAAGAAGCTTTTTCTGTTCTGAATTGAAAAAGCGTCTTGGATGAAAAGCAAAATGTTTCAAAGGCGGCAGGGGGGAGGGGGACGGACGGACGGACGGACGGACGGACCCCAAAGAAAAGCCCAGTTGCTTTTTGGAAAAGCACCTTTGGGACAATTCATAACCTGAATGATTGGCAATCTCAATCGATGATTCAGGGAATGAAAATGGATAAATGCGGTGATATTATAACTAGACACAACCTGGCATTCTCTCAATCGTAAAGCCCATTTCTCTGCAAGCAAACTTACCTCACTGCGCATGTGTGCACCTCCCAGCTGATTTTCGGCTTGTTTGAGGCCTTTTTTTAGCCTCCCAGAAGCTTGAGGAGAGCCTTTGCAGGCCGAAAAATAGGCCCGTTTCATCACTTCCTGTATTTCTGGAAATACCAGAAGTGACTAAACAGGCCCATTTTTCGGCCTGCAAAGGCCGCAGAAGCTTTCCTCAAGCCTCTAAGGGCTGAAAAAGGCTTCAAATGGGCCAAAAATCAGCTGGGAGGCGCAGTGCAGGTAAGGGAGCGTGGGGGGATTGGGCGCGCATGTGCAGGGGTGGTGGGGGTGGTGCACACATTACCTCCT